TTTTTTTAACAACCAAAAAGTGTCTGTTCCTTCTGTTGCGGAAGAACAGACGTTCCTCTCGTTGATAGCAGAGGAGCGGATCCAGCGAGAGCTTGATGGGGCGACGCGGAATGAAAAAGTTTTTCAGGAGTCGCGGCAGTAGAGGCGGCGCAACTATAACGACATGTGAATAATCCCACCCACTCTAAAGCGGTACTGAACTGCAGTGGAAACGCAAACCGAGCCGTGCCGTGCCGTGCCGTACTGAGCCGTACCAAGCCGAATCGTACCATGCAGTGGAAAAGCGCCATTAGTGCCTCTCTCCTGTTGCTGTTGTTGGAGCTGGGAGGGATGTATACAGCAACGAGCAGTATGGCTGTATATTCCCTCGGTAGATAGAACGGCCGGCACTTAATAATCATAAACTCCACCAGGGGTGAGCAGTGTTTGCAGACCACAACAGCATCGCGGCACCACGCATCATTGATGTAAACACAAAGCCCGCCGCCGCGGGTCTTACCTCCCTCGACGCGAGCTCTGTCCGCTCGATAGCATGTCAGCTGATCGAGATGAATAGCGCAGTCCGGAACGCTGTTGTTGAGCCATGTTTCCGTGAACACAAAAACACAACAGTCTCTTACAGTCCTCTGAGTTGAGCGTAGTAGTCGGATGTAGTCCAGTTTATTGTCCAAAGAGCGTACGTTAGCCAGTACGATGGTGGGGATAGCTGGCTTGTGTGGGTTAGCCGCTAGCCTAGCCCGGATACCTCCGCGCTTACCCCTCTTCTGCTTCCTCTCACGCCGCTTGTGGCGCCTCCGCTGTGGGGGAGATGCAGTAGTGGGGGTCGGTGATGGGGTGGGCCTCCGGAGCAGACCGGGATCCCGCAGCTCTTCGGCGTGCGCAGAGTTTAACTCTAAAAATGTGGTTCTGCCGACATCGAGCAGAAACTCACGACTGTATACGCGCTTAGAGACAGATAGACGCGACGAATACGTACAAAAACACTGCGACTCACAAGACAAAAAACACGAAAACACCTTTCTGTCGGGAGAGAGAGAAGCCGCAGCGTGAGAACGCGCCGCCATCTTCTAAACTGACCAAGTTTACCAAGTCAATGCCAGCTCATCTGGGAGCCTATAAAGGACTGGACTTTGGGATGCATAGGACATAATGACCCATCAAGCCCTGGCCCAGAATTCAACACTCCAAATGGGAGATTTTATCTGGGGTTAATGTCCACTGTCTAAATGCTTGCAGGGATGTCAGGTGCAATAAGTGGAGGAAAATGGCATTGAGATTGTAAAAGGTACTGGTCCAGCTTTAAGATACTGTTAGACCCTCTACTACTGAAAGGCATATCAGAGGCTTAGTGAGGTCTAACGGTTTGACAGCTACTATATTCCAAAGCAAGGTTCACTTCTACTTTGGATCTCACGCTGGGATATTGGCAAGGTCACTTCACTTCCACAGTGAAGAAAAAGACCTTATGCCCTGTATGGGCCACCTGCCACCTTCTAGAGATTAACGCATAAGTTGCAGCCTCACTAATGCTAAGTATCTGCTTACATAGGTGATGTCATTCTTCACCTTGAGAGCTGTGGTGGTGGTGAACATCTGTTGCAACTCTGCGGAACAGGGTTGGAGAGAGAAGTGCTGGCAATAAACTTGTCTTGGAGCTCCTCTATTGCCTTCTGGGCAGCAATTTTTCCTTGTCACAAATCAATGTAGTATATGGCAAAAATGTCATTTGTTTCTTAAATGTTTAATCCCTCTGGTTTAAATATTCTGCTATAGTTTTCATTTTTGTTTGTTTTTTACATGTTAAACTGACATTTACATTCTTGAACACAGTGTGAATCAGAATAGTTATACACTGTCCCAGAAATTATGACAGCAGCAAACATATCCGTGATGCTCACTGTTATATTACTACTGTCACAATGACAGATGTTTAAGAGCTCTGTGATTGATTTAGCCACAAAGCGGGTTCAATTATTTCTATAGTTTGTTTGGAGACGTTGTTACTCTATGGTTAAACAGCACTAAGGGGATCAAGCAAGGTTGTTCTGGCCCCCAGGGGCCTCTGGTAACTGGTGATGTACTTAATTGATGAATTGATTGCCTTAATTAATGAGGAGCAAGAGAAAAGACAGATGCTCGATGCTGTTAAACTCTCACTACAACAAAGCGACGGCCTCACGCCGCGTGGAATCATGTGGGATGTGCACCTTCATGAATGTAAAGTGATGTAGGCCTGCTTCATATAGCACTCTTGTTATGTCAGCCTGTCAGCTTGTGTTAACCTCGCAATTCATTTTAAAGACACATTGCTGATTGCATTTCAAGTTATTTTTTCAATTTCTGACTGCTGCGCTGTTCAGATACAGTGAATAAGCAAGGGTATGCAGATTTAGCTGCTTCTTTGTCAGTGCAAAAATAGTTTTTAATATTTACGTGGTAACCAGGGGCGGCGTTTCCGTATGGCAGAGTATGGCAGTTGCCATACCCTAGCCCAGTCAGGTGTGCCATGAAAAATTATCCAAACTTAATATCTCTATTATATTTAGTTATTATTATTTTAAATCAGAGTTTTTTTTTACAAATATTTAACCAATAATAAAACTTCATAACGCCATTGGATTCTTAAACTGTCAGCGAAACCTCATAACTTCACCCCGCCTCCATTCAGATTGACGCGCCGCGCACAGTAGGAGACAGATCTCCGCTTTTTTTGCAATGCAAGGGTAAATAACATAGTACAGCGTTTTCTTTACTCAAACACTGTGTCTTTAAAGGATAATGTTTTTGTGTGTTTGAAGAGTGGAGAAGTAGGCTTTTTGCCATCTAGTTGTAGCCAATATACTTTTTGTACGTTTTAAATATCCTGTGCATATCGCTCTTCATCATTTATATCATGAGATTTTGGCCAGGTATATTAAACAACAAGAAAAACTAAGCACCCATATAGCTACAATAAACGTTATATAACCTGTAAAAGGTTACTAAAAGGACACTAAACACCGTCGAGCCGCTCTTGACAGTCGCGGTAGCACGGTCTCGTGTTGTTTCCACCAGCGAGGCAATTTTTTCATCACTAGCCTAATTGATGGATGTCTAAAATATAAAAATAAGGAGAAGCCTAAAACAGGCCTGAGGCCCGGCCCGCGTCTGAACTATATGACGTGAAAATTGGCCCGAAGCCCGGACCGAGGGGCGTAAAAAAAGTCGGGGCCCGTTGGGCCCGGGCTGAAATGCAGGGCTCTACCGCTCCCGCCTGCAAAAGCCCGCATAAAAGTAATCTATGTAGATTTTTTTCAGTACATCGAAGAAATTTACATGAAATGGTTCTGTAACATCTCCTAAGCTCCACAACACTCCCGATAAAATATTTGTTATTTAGGCTAAGCATCAGCATTCACAACAGAAAAGCAAGCATGGGCTGCTGCGTGCATGCACACACGAGTCTCTTCCTGCCCGCACCCGCACTCGCCCATCAAGAGTTGTCCCGCACCGCACCCTGTTGCGTTGGGTCCCGCGGTACTCCTGCGGGAGTGCAGGTCTCTATTGTGAAGCAAAAAGCTGCATGCTTGTAAGAAACAAATCCATCATTAAGACATTTTTAACTTCAAACCATTGTGTCAGGCTAAAATATAAGTCCCTAATCCATATTAACAGTTAATCCGAGAAAAAGTTGTCTTGCCTGAATCAGGAACGAAATATGCACAGATCAAGCGCTGTTTACGAGTGAAAACAAAACACCTCTAAACAAATATATTGGCGGCTTTTTGATTTTAGAGGACAACAGGGACTGGACTTTTTCACCAGAAGAAGTGTTATCATGGATCAGTACAGGCCAGAAGCGATGGTTCAAAGTTAAAACGCATTAATGATGGATTACTTGTGGATTATTGTAATGTTATCATCAGCTAACTGCTGCTAACAAACGAAACCTTTGGGTTACCAATTATGTTTAAAATGGCCGAGAAACTATCTGACAATGCCACAAAACAAAACAAAACTTAGATTATATTATATTAGACAAGCCAACAATATTAAACCATTTGGTTGTGATGCTAATGGGCTCTAAATTACAATTTACATTTATGTGTCTAACATTAAAATTAGGCCTAATTGAAATGTAACTGAACATATAAGTGAAAGTGAAGTGACGTGAGAAAAAGTGACGTGACGTGACATGTGGCCAAGTATGTTGACCCATACTTGGAATTAGTGCTCTGCATTTAACCTATCCAAAGTGCACACACACATCAGTGAACACACACACACCGTGAACACACACCCGGAGCAGTGGGCAGCCATTTTTGCTGCGGCGCCCGAGGATATCCCATCCAAAGTGCACACACACAGCAGTGAACACACACACACCGTGAACACACACCCGGAGCAGTGGGCAGCCATTTTTTTTGCTGCGGCGCCCGGGGAGCAGTTGGGGGTTCGGTGCCTTGCTCAAGGGCACCTCAGTCGTGGTATTGAAGATGGAGAGAGCACTGTACATTCACTCCCCCCATCTACAATCCCTGCCGGTACGAGACTCGAACCCGCAACCTTTGGGTTACGAGTCCGACTCTCTAACCATTAGGCCACGACTTCCCCTTTTGTATAATTAAATATATCTATCACTTTGTCGCATATTTGCATAAAGTGGAAATATTTAGTAGCTCTTCAGCATGAAACCCATCTTAATGATGCACTTTTCTAACACACACACACATACATACACAAAAATCAATCCAAATAATTTACATATCTATGAAAAACGAATTGAGTCAGTGAAGTCAGGTTTATTTGTACAGTGCTATTCACAAAATGCATTATTTCAGAGTAACTTCACAGGAAAATATTGCTGTAATATTTTTAATATGACATCCAGGTTATGAGAACACTTTTTTTTTCATTGCTTTGTTTCCATAGTCAACACTGACCGTGGCACTGTCTCTAATACAGAGAACCTGGAGGGCCGATGTCCTGCAGAGTTTTGCTCACCGAGTTTGGTGACCCCTGCTCTAATAATTCAGCTTCCTTCCTGTTAAATGTTCATTTGCATCGTTGGAGGGCATTTACTCTGTGCAGCTGCGTTCCAGCTGCGCGTCATTATGTCTGCAGCAGCTGTTGACACCCAAATTACGGCAGAAAGAAGGTGCTACAAACTTATTCCTTTTTTTTCAAGCGTGTAAATATGACTTAATCAGTCGCTCCCCAGATGTTCTCTCTCTCTCTCGCTCTCTCTCGCTCTCCCTTTTGCTGTCTCCCTGATCTCCAGGTAATCTAGGCACTAAAATAGAACTCATCATTTCAAAATAAGACAGACTTAAACAGCCTCTGACAGCCATTTCCAGCTTCTTTTCCCAAGATGCTTTGCTTCACAAGTAAGTGGCCTCTATCTGACATTTACTGCCATTTACTACCCTGTATGAAATGGGAATGGGTCGATCTCTCTTCGTGAACCAGTGACAACTGCAGCAAGAAGTAAACCAAAGACAGGCAATAGGTCCCTCTCAGAGCCTGACAAACAGGCCGGATATTCAACCTAGTTTGTGCACCCCCAAAAAAATGTTATTTACAGATATTTCCACAAATATTAGTATGCTACATGGGAAATGTGTTGTCTTCATGCATAAATATGATAAACTATATGGCTTCTTTTCTGTGTATTTGTGTGTATGCAGTACAGAATTATTATCTCTTGTAAATCAAGAGCAATGTCATCTTTTATGGCCACGCTACAGCGCCGTAAGAGGTTTTTCTTCTTGTCTTCATGTTTCTAGGTCACTGTCTCATTGGTTGTTGCTATTCCAGCTATTAGGAAGTAGGAATATCATAAAAGATTTGATACTTCCTGCTGACATGGAAATCTCTCTCACTATGAATCAAGACCTCCTTTTCCTTTTCCTCTCTAACTCCTCTACCTCCATGACGTCTGAAACATGAGCTGTAATTTCATCTGTGAGTGTGAGCGGATCTCAAGGATGAAGATCACCTCCTGTGAATTTTTCAGTTTTGCTGTGAGTTAAAAGGGTCAAAAATACTACTGTTCAAAGTTTTTTTTTTTTTTTTTAAAGAAATTAATATTTTATTCAGCAAGGACAGTAATTACATTTATAATGTTATAAAAGACTTTTATTTCAAATAAATCCCTTTTTTTTTTTTTACTTTCTATTCATTAAAAAAATCATGACAAAAATCACGATATCCACAACAATATGAAGCAGCACAAATGTTTTCAACATTCAACATCTTTCAACATTTTAACAATAATAACATATTTCTGGAGCAGCAAATCAGCATATAAGAATGATGTGGAAGGATCATCTGAAAATAAAGACTGGAGAAATTATGCTGAAAATTTAGCTTTGCCATCACTACATTTTTAAATATATTAAAATAGAAAACAGTTATTTTAAATTATAATACTTCACAATATTACTGTTTTTACATTAAATAAATGGAGCTTTGATGAGCATAGGTGACTAATCAAAAATATTAATATATATTAATATTTCCCTCTGAAGTCAGTGTCAGGGTTTTTAGTGTCAAATCCTTTTATAGTTTTCCACACACTCTCTCTCTCTGACCTTCACAATTAAACAGACTGTTATTTGTGGCTGTGCCTTTAAGACGTCTGTGTAAACACCCTCTTTACATGTGTAATGTTGAGTAATAGAGCTTTGTTGTGGTCATTTAAAAAGTAGATTAAGTAGGTAAATTTAAAAAAGTACATTAAGTAAATTAGTAAAAAAGGTCGGTTTTGATTCAAAGCTGACTTTAAGGACAGAGCTTCAGCCCCATGTCATGTTGCCTCAGATTTTGGAAACATTCAAGAGTGAAATGACTCGAACACAACCATGACCTTACTTCTCCTTTCAAAGGGCAAAAATACAATCCTGCAGGCCAGGGAAAGAAGAGCCAAAAATATAGTGAGGATAGATGTTTTTGGCTTTTTATTTTTCTAACCTCAAAATACTCTCATACTTCACAATGTAACTTACTTATTATCTTGTGGAGTTGCTGAACATTAATAAATACAAAAACGATCAGCGATCATTTAAAAAAAAAAAAATCATATGTATTTCTACGATTCACCTCGTACAAATTCATACAAAATTGCCACCTCATAAAATATGTATGTTTTCGTGTGAGACTGGATTGGAAACAACTTCATGTCTCTCTTTAAACTCAAATACAAGTTATTCAGGCTACAACATCTTCTACCATGAAAACACAACGTCAAATCAATCCCATTGATTCAGAGTTTGTTAAAAACATGAGTCTAATTGAAGAATTACACATATTTCTGGCTGCCTTACTGCTTTTAAAGAGCTAAATTTGCTATTTTAATAATAAATAAGCCTGTCTTAGATAAATATTTTAATGATCTTAATAAATTATCAGGCTGATTAAAGAGCCACAGAGCAGAAAGTTTCCATAAAAGTTAATTCGTCTCTGTTTGTTAGATGATTAAGGTGAGAAAAGAGAGTAGAAGTGAGTGAGAGAAAAATAGGAAGAGTACATCAGACTAGAAAGAAAGAGTGATGAGTAATAGAGGTATAAAGTGATTGGGGAGTTGAGCTGATGGAAATGGAGAGAGAGAGAGGGAGGAGTTTGATTACAGAGACATTTTCCACCCTCTTTCTCTCACTCTCTCCATCTATCCATCCATCTCACGCACTTACTCTCTGCCAGGGGAGCTGAACAGACGCATCTGAGAAAAACAAACATGAGGGATTATATGTCACAGAAACACACACGCACGAGCACAAATCAAAACAAACAAACCGAAAAGCGTTTTCCTGATGGAGAAGAAACAGAAAATGGATGCAGAAATTATGCATGATGTGGAAAGTCTGAAATATAGATGCAAAGCTGCCAAGGACAACAAGTGGACAGACACATGCAACATCCTTGATTCACAGTTAGAGAGTTAGAAAGTCAACAAAACCCCCCCCCTTTTTACATTTGCAATGACATTTGGGTGGGGTGGGGGGTGGTTTTGGGTTGGGGGTAATCCATGGTAATCCATCTGGAAAAAAGTAAATCCATTTCAAGTTGAAAGTTTTTCAGTCAAAAAACAGGAACTCATTTTTTTCTTTTCAAAAGTCATTCATAATATGAACGTAAATGGGTCCACTTTGATTTTTATCTTGAACTAAATTGAATGAACCGGGCCTTTCATCTGCCTGCACCAACACATGACTAATGCAAATACATAACACATACACATCATAAAACATAGACTGAATCTAGGTCATCCTTTTCTCAGTAGGGCAACTACATCTGGACCTGTGGAACAAATCAATAGTTGGGATAGAGTGACTCCGCCACATTTATGAGGAAAAAACACTTTTTTTTTTTTTTTTTTTTCCTTTGGTCACATCTCCGAAAAGGTCGAAGCAGATTTTTAAATAGACGATATCGTTATTAACAAACCGCATATTTGAAGTCTAAACAACTACATACTCTTCTAAAAAAACTCTTAAAACTACAGTATTATTTTAGTGCTGCCAATCGATTAAAAAATAACTAATTAATGTCACATTTTCTTCCTGAAATTAATCGTGATTAATACCACCTAACATTAAAGTTTTTAAATATACTTTTATATTGCAAAAATTTCACATTCAATCTTCAAATGAAGGTAGAAACTGTTTGTTTAATGGAATCTTTTTTATGAGGCCAGTATCAATAGGGCTACCACAGATGTCTCTATGAAATTGTTTTTTTTCTCCCTAATATTTAACCATCGACTATAGCAATTCAGCATTACAGAATAATTGAGAGCTATCAATTTGAACATTTATTAGACTTTAAAAAATAACAACTTCTAATTTAAGTGAACTTAAAACAATCTTCACATAAACCCATTATAATAAATATTCTGTTCTGACCAATTGCGTAGCTTGAGCAAAGGCTTAACAGATAGCGTACACTTTCAGAAAAGAACTCCAGAAAGCAGTCTTCATAACTTTAGTGACTTTACTGGTGATTGTTCTTCTCAATTCTTTTATTGTAAAACTACAAACAAGAAAAAATATGTATGAACATTATGTTCACATTTACATACACATCCAGCTTAACATTACAGTTCGATTTTGTACATAGTTCCTTTTTTAACGTTATTTAAAGTAATGTACATGTCAAGAAATCATATTCAAATGAGATTATGTACAAACAGAAGATAAATTAGCAATACGCTAAAACAAAGTACGCTACCAATAACGCGAATCATGTCTGTTTATAACAAAATATAAGAATAATCCCGATCTACACTTTACTTTAATCTACACAACACTTAAAAGCACTATTTAGTATAAAATGTAGCACTTACAGACATATATTTCCAAGATTTAAACGATGGAATCAATAACCCATAGGAACTGCATGCACGTTCTTCTTGACTGCGTTCCCTGAGAAACCGAAAGTAAACGGCAAAATAAAGTGTAGTACCTTAAATGTCCTGTAGGAGGCGGAAAAGAAACAGAACATAAGAAACAGCACAATAAATGTCTTATTTAGCTACCTGTGCCCTTCAGCAAGCAGGGAATATACAGAAACTGAATAACATTATCAAACACTAAATTTGAACAAAACTTAAAGCTACAAAGTTATTGATTTCCTCTTTTTTCTTTTGTTGTTTGATTAACAGACATCACAGCAGCTGGTTATTAGGTTATTTTGGCTGCTTTAAGAGCTGCGGCTGCTGAACATGGCGTGGATCTGACACGCATCATATTTTCTCACAACTCTTTACCTTTTCTGACCCACTTCAGGTCTTAAAGTCTCTTCTAATGAGCTGACGAGTTGAATCGGGTTAGATGTTAGATGAGGGAGACAGTGCTGGCTGCTCAAGGATACACTGTAAAAAAAAATCCATAAAATTTACGGTAAAAAATACGGTAGCAACGTTTTCGGTTTTACGGTTACTTAAATTTACAGTTAAATACCGTAATTTCATTAACTGATATAATGTTAATATACCAACCTATTGAAGTACTGAAATCTGTTTTGCACCTTTGTAATACACTGATAACCAGCAACTGCTGGTGGTGATGAGAAAGTCACATGATGAACCAAAGCCCATCACAAGCAGCTTTTAAATAATAACATATATAGAAGGTGCACAGTGTCATTCACACAAACACCAAACACCATCATGGTAACACACATGAAACTGAAATAATGCAATAAACATTCATTTAACAACATTAGGTGTAACACACAACCCTAATATACAAAACTGAAGAAGAAACAGTTATTTCAACAAAAAAAAACATCAAGTTTGAAATGTAACGCAGGGAATTCTGGGAATGTCAATTTACGGTTATTCACTGTAAATTATACAGTATTTTTCACTTCCAAAAACGGTATACTACCGTAAAATTAATGTCCAATACATGTAATGTCCAATACAGTTTTTCACCGTATATAGTAGGGGAACCGACCGTTAACCATTTAACAGGTTTTTACTGTAGCATTTTTACAGTCTTTTACCGTTAAATTCACGGTCATTTTTTACAGTGTAGTTTTGAAAACCACTGCATTTCAGAGACATGTTCTTAAATGTGACTCATATATAAATACTTACATACATGCACAGTTTTAAGGCAGTTTTAATCGCCCTTTTGGTAACTTCATAACTGACGATATAACTCTGACATTGTATGCTCCCAGTTTCTATGTGAAAATATACATTAATATGAAATTATATAGCGTGCACCATTGCATTTGTGCATGCCGTTGAAGAGCACATGCTATGCGCACAGTATAACGGCTGACAGGACAGGAAAATTGTTTTTTTACTGACATATGGCTTGACAGTATCTCATCTGACCGCAGTTCACTGTTGCACATAATATTTCAGCACCGGTTATTAGTTATCATGTAGTTTTATTTTAATTTTTTTTATCTTTTTAAAATTCATTATATTGCCTGACATTGAATATATTGTTGTTTCTGCCTTTTTTAAGATTTAAAGTATTTTTGTCATCATCTAGATAATATATATTTACAATATCAACCCTAACATAAAAATAATTATTGATGTATTGGTGGTCAGAATTTCAGTATTGTGCATCCCTTGTCTGTACATGTAAATGCCTGTAAACTGTCCCACTGAGCCACAGACATATAATTTGCTTTGCTGACATCTTCTCTGTTTAAATATTACACTCAAATCATCACATTTCCACCTGTCTCTTCTTTTATTCTTGTAAAACAACACCAACACCCCCTCCCCCTTTCTGTACCCGGAGTCAAAAGTAATTTATACTGACTGACAGCTCCTGACAAACAGAGTGAGAGAAAGAGAGGAAGACAGAGAGAGAGAAATAGATAGAGGGGAAAGAAAAAGGGGATTGCCTTGGTGGAGGTGAATGTATGGTGTTGTTTGGTCACAATATGAAATTAGCAAATATATGAGAGTGAGTCAATAAAAGTTGACTCTGATTGGATGGGTATTAAAAATAACTATTAAAACGAATGAAAATCATAAATATATAATAAAATTATAAATGTTGCTTTGGCACTAACTGAAAATTAGTTGAAGTACTAAAATTCCTAAAACCAAACCAAAATAAATATTAATAAATATCATAATACTTAATAAATAACACTAAAATAACACTGGTTTAAAGTTGTTCCAAACTTGTATTACTTTCTATTTCTGTTGAACACAAAACGAGATGTTTAGCAGAACGTTCTTTTAGTGAACATCAGGGTCAGGCAAAACACTGATGCATAGCACTCAATATGACATATGTGCATCTATTTCAAGCAGTGGCGTAGCGAGTCAGCCCCGGGTAACCTCCAACTCAGTTAACTTAGGCCCTATAGTTGATTTTTCTGAAGTAAATAACGTTACGTGAATCGTGACTATTCACAAGCTGTTTTATTTACGGTATAGGCTAATGCTTGGAAATGATGTTTAAAGTTTTCAAGTCCATTCATAATTTGTAGCACGAAAGCCACTCAATAATCGCAGCTTTGTGCTTTGTTACTACAAAGTCTCAGCCTTCTGTCAATTTTATGATTAAATACAAACAATAAATGTCTTTTTATGCTCTTTAATTTGTAGTGAGATAATTCGCCTCAGTTCAAGCTGCATATGAATCAAT